ATCCAAAAGGACACTCTTGTATTTGTGTGCTTCAGGCGCAGAGAATTTATTAGCACGTGCAAATAGGAAATCCTGTCTTTTGCTTTGGATACTCGCCAGCTGGTTATTCGCAGCACAAGGTAACCTTCACCTCATAATACTGCACGGTTTACGCTAAAGCCCTTGTTTTCTGGGCATCCTTCCCGAAAATTGTGCCAAGAGGACATCCATCAAAACTTGGCATATTTCTTTGACTTTGGTATCTCTGTCACTCAATGATGATATGGTTTTGCATGCTACCTTCGTACCGACCCAAATGAATTGGTACATGGTCCCTGCTCATCATCAAGAGCTGCTCACGATCGACAAAGGTGCAGTGATGACCTCGAGTCACCACTGGTTTATTCCGTTTGCACACCGAAAGTCCGGTGTAGTCCAAAGGCATTTCCTGATCATTTATTTGAAGAAATTTATTTATTGTTGGTCATAAGGCTGGATAAGACATTCCTAGAGATGCAAAAGCGCTTAAGGCAGTGGTCATTCTCCAGAAAGCTAATGTACATGACATATCAGCCGTAAATTCATCGGGCTGAAAACGAGCGCAATGACAAATTTCTGAATAAGTTGTAGGGAAACTGATGGTCTGAGAACGTAAAAATAGAGCCACCGAACTTGGGCGAAAAGCAGTTTGGAAGTGAGTTCATTAAATAGGGTATTAGTGGACATCTATCGTAGGCCATGACAAGCTGTCAAAAAAATCTTCATAACGCTTATAAGAACGGGAGGCAAAATAAAAGCCCGACATTTTTGAACAGCATGAAAAATGATGGGACCTCATGATCATATAACCAGCCGATTTCATCCTATTCATAGTTCCATGTGAGCTTCAAAACTGTGATAGTCACAACTAGTCATAGGACACTCATCATCATCTATATCATCATCATCGAGGGCATGACATCAGTGTTCAACACCGAGCTTCACTGTCGTACCTGCCTGCTACCCATAGTAAAAACCGAGCCATTATCCATGCGGGCCGATAGCAACCAGATTCCAGCTGTGCAAGACTTTAACGGCCAATGGCGGCCCGTCATACTCGTAACTGTAGTCGATATAACCTACCTGGGCTACTTATCGTAATTGCAAGGTCTGTGTCTATGTGCAACGCTGAGTATGAAGCTCAAACTATGCCCAGTGGCCCAGTTCAATTGCCAACGACGACCCGTCATACTCATGACTATACTCGATGCCACCTGCCGAGACTACTTATAGTGGCTGCCAGACCGATGCATATGCTCGTAGCTGACTATAATGTCCCAACTATACATAACAGACTAATCCAACGACCAACGCAGCCCTTCATATCCGTACGCCGCCCACCTGCCAACACTCCATGCCTGGAAAATACACAAAGTCCTTTAAAAAATCGCATTTCTATTCATTGGTTGCATCGGTACAAACATAATATGTGATCGATCCAGTTCTTAGTTTTTCACTCGATAGGGTTTCTGAAAAAATGTGCAATCAATTACGACTGGTATACATCTTCCGCGATATCGCTTAAAACACAATTACACAAAATTATAAGGGCTACATCACCAAGTGCCTAATAAATATCCGTCCAAAATTACCGGTCGGTGTCTGCGCTGAACACGGGGACTCTCTGTTATAAAAGTAAACTCACTATTTGCTCAATCAGTCCACGTAGTGATAACGAGAGAGCACTGTGTGCATTGATGATTCGATGGCAGGTTTCCGTAATCCTATGAGTTACGGGGCACGGCGAAGCTAAAGCTAAATAGGGGTGTTTAGTTGTCAGTCGTAGGACCAAATGGCGTAGACTTGGGCCCTGAGGTCCACGAGCCACACGCGTCCTCAAACGTGCACCCATGGATGTAACCGTAGCGAAGGTCTAGTGAGTGGGCGGGTGCCTGGCATCAAATCCGCTGATTTAGGGCGCTATATCCAAGTTTACTCGATTTCTGCCCATCAATGCCGATACAATGCAGCTTAATAAAATCGACAGTTCGGTCTTCCTCATCGAAACTCGCAATAATCACTTACTCAATTATATTGGTAATACAGCCAACAAGCAGCACCCTTCTGGGCTTTATCCAATTCACTGTTCATGTTGAAGTATTGCAACCCATCTTCACTTCTGAAATCATTTCCACTATATCCGAATAAATGGGCTTGTAAGATAGCCAAAACTGATTCGATCCAACTGTCCCAGATAATGAGGATGATTTAGCTGGAGACCGCAACGACACATTTTTCAGTGGAAATCCCCGGTGCACAACGCTGCCGCAAAGATAGAAAAAATTTTCATATAAACGTTCGCAATCAAATTGCCCAGCTCAGTGAACAAGCCAACGACCATCTGCGCTACCTGAACTACCGACATTTTCCTCTACAGAAACCAAAGACTTCGCGCACAGGGTCCAATTAACAGTTGGGCACAGATAATTGGCCTTTGTGGTGCAGTGTGTGATGCTAGCATGTGCTGTGAAAGGGAACGCGCCAAGCGGCTCTTTCCAGGTATGCCATTTGGTGAAATATGTCTGATTTTGTTGCCAGTTTTGGCCAGGCACCGTTCGACCACCCCTCTAAACGAGATTAACAGTTTTGTGGTTAGCATTTCGAGTGCTCATGGCGGGAGATGCATTCTTTGTTGTCGAACAAACCGTGCAGCGTTCGAAAAAACTTAGAACACGCATATTTTGATGATCTATGCAAGTTTGTTGTTAAACTGTGGAGTTTTCAATTGTACTCGCGAAATATGCTTGGACAATATCCGACAGCTGAGGGAACCCAGCTGACTCACACGACTAGCACACGGCTAGGTGTCCACGATGTCTAATTAGCTGGCCAAAGCGTGTCGATCCGTCTTCACCGGGGAAAAGCCCCAAATTGTGCGACATTGGAAGCTGAATTGTTTTGGTCCTTTTGATTAGTATATGTCTCGCTCGCAAGCGTATGGCCTTCTTAGTGCGGAGTGTTCATTTATATATTGACGTCCTGAACTACGAGGAAGATACGCTACGTTATCAAAATATCAGGCTGTCAAAGTCGGAGGAATACTTATCCTATAGAGAGAGCACTTCAGCGGCAATAATCTCATGTTTGCTAACAAAACGCCTTCTTCAACGGCTGATTCGCACTGCGTGACTCGTTTTAGCTTGGTGCCTATAAACTATGACCATCTAGGAACACGACGATTACCTGAAATGCATCATGTTTCATAACCAAACGTACAGTATGGAGTTGGTGGGCCCTCCATGAGTCGCATGAAATCATGTCGTCTCTCTCCTATGCCTGGCTCTCTATAGGCTGTTGGCCGCACTACGAAAACGGCCCATCCCAGATTGTGCGTGTACAGGCTATTTGCGGATGATATGTAAACAATGGGTCGCACACGGCGGCTAGAACTTGATTGGCCTTTTGGTTTCTGACCAATCAGGGCCGTGTTTGGCGGTGGATCGGCCAGCGGCCCATCCTTTTGAGAAAACCACGTGCGAATTCCGCCAACGGCTGCTACAACGTTTAACTAGGGACTGTAGAGCGGTTTGGGCGTAGGATCCCGCTTAACAGGGTTTAAAGGTAGTTTGACCTTTGATCCATTGGTCACTGACTTCGGGTACATTCGGAATAAGTGTGTTGGTGGCTGGTTCATACAGGAAAGTTGTGGGGCACCAACTAACCTACAAGCACATATTTTATCTAGGTCGTGTTGCATAATTCCATGCTATGAGTTGTCATGTTCATGGAGAAGTCTGCCGAAACATCTTTCCCCTCTGCACGGAGATCTACTCGATTAATCGAGGAGTAAGAATTCTTACTCCTCAGCGACATGCAGTGGCCCTATTTGGGTATGACCGTATGACATGTGCCATCAGCCTGCTACTCACAAGGAATAATGAAAAATATGTTTCTCAAAGTCGAAGCAGCTACTGTAAGAAGACAGCATCCTTTCAACCTGGCGCTGATGAGTGTCAATCGACCGGTGGCGTGTTTACTGGGGATTCCACAGTAGAAACTGCTCTTGTTTCAGCACGTCAACCACCCCAGGTTGTCGAGACATGGGAGTATTGTACTTCAAATGAGCAGTTACTCTGAGAGTTACGGCTTCAGTTTCTGTATCTCACGCTTCCAGGTTCCATAAGCCCACCTGTGAAAACGGTTCTTGGGGCGACATCTCATCCCCCAAAACTTTGAAAAAATACAACAGAAGACATTGAAACCGGTCCCGTAATCTCCCCGGAGAATGATATAGTGGAGTCACTCTCCAGCTACTACAAAATACTCAATGTATCTTGTGTCATGAAGCAGTGTACCACAAGGATAATCACCATACTTCATAAAGGCGGCAGAGACAAATGCAAACTGCAAATTGACCACTCTTCCTTATCTTATTCAAATTCAGTCAGTAGTGGCAAATCAACTGTGAGCATAGCCAGTGTTGCCCCTGCCGTGGATTCAGGAGACCAAGGTGTTGTCCAGCTGACGTGTTTAGTGTGTCTGTTTACGGCTTGGTCACGGACAACGGAAATAGTCTACTTCGGATGTGTGCCGGTCATAAACTGTTGCTTTGTGGTACCGATTTCCGGAGATCGTTCGACAATCATCATCATCATAGACAGCATGACATCAGTGTTCAACACCGATGCTTCACTGCCGTACCGTTTGACGATGTGTATCAACGAACCATCCCCGAATCCAGACAGGCCACGTTGCTAACAGTTAACGGTGAAGTGGTCGGTGACTGACTGCCGATTCTCCTAGAATGGCTCAGTGGTTAGAGCGTGAATTTAGAGAATCGGTAATGGTGCCCGTTTTCAATAAAGGGGCGCGTGGTGAGTGGTAACCACAGGGGGATCAGCTTGGTTCTGCTTCTTGACTTCCCTTTCTAGGCCTGGGAAACTTGGTAATACCCCAGTCCTCGTGCCTCCCTTTGGTGGCATGGCAGTTAGGCACCGAAAAGATGCTACGACTGAAGGATTTTCTTCTCCTGGGATAACCGTGAGGACTGCAACTGTGCGCTTTTCCTCAGCTTTGTTTCATAGCGTTTTTTTGGTACCTATACTCATGATGGTGATGATGGCACTCTTGGTTGTTAGGAGGCTCATTACCCAAAAATCAAATGGACCCATCAGAATCTGCACCTCCAACGCCTACCAGCTGGGCTGACGTCAGATGTTGACAGTCGCTGGAAACAGATATCCAAAGCTGGAACCTCTATGTGCTTTATAACGTAGCGAATCTCATCCGCTCTTTGGAGCTCCGATAGGGCTTTGACTTTGCCGTAGGCCCCTTGACCGATTCTTTCTGTTCACAACCCAACTCGATGCACCACCCGGCGCCAGGTGAAACAGCATGCGTACAGACAGGGAAGCTTAATGGACCTAAAAAGGCTGCAGAGATGTTGGGTGCAAAAAATACTGGAAATATCCACAGGCTGTGTAGTGGGAGTCGATGACTTAGTTGATCGATTATTGATCCGTTGAGTAGAATGAGGAGACTCCGCCTAAGGATAGGCTTTATTCAACATATAAGCACAATATAGGCTGAAATGACAAGTGAAAGTGAATTAATGGAAATAGCAGTAGAGCGTAACTTTCACTACAGGCTGTTTTACTGGATTCGTTCGACTGGTCCTCAGAAGTCCCCCGTTTGCGAAACCGTCAGAAACAAAACTCATTCTGTGATATCCAACAATGGAGAAGTTTTGAACCGTTGGGCATAGCATCTCGAACGAAAACGCAGTTGACCACTTGTCACCACTAATTCGGAAGGCCGGCCTTCAACAGAAAGGTTGAGTGTGAGCATGGAACCCACTTCAGTCTCAGAAGTGTCCGAGTGTACATTCCTACTCAAACACTTTTTTGTTGCTGGCCTTGAAAGCTTTTCGCCTGCTCTGTTCAAGGATGGCGGTGGATTCTACAGCTACTACCTGTCTTATCCATTTGGATCTATTCGGGCGAAAGAGACCATCCCAGATAACTGGGGGAGTCGATAATAGTACCCATTTTCAAAAATGGTACCCACAATAGATGTAGTAATGACGGGGCGTCGGTTTCATTTACATTGTGACAAGTCTCTGGTGTCATCAATCATCATTTCAGCTGTAAAAACCGCGTATTTATCGTACAGTGGTTGTAGCTTTCACAATTTTAGTTCACCGATGATTTGGGGAGATGGGCTAGGTAACTGCGCATTGGAGGTGGGGGGTGATAAATTGGTACACACATACAGCACTGTCAGTGGACTGTTACGTGGGGGATTGGGAAGGGAGCTATGCACTGAAGGCAATAGCTTAGATGCACGAGCGCCATTGAGGGCGCGACTGGGCCGTATCTGAGTGCCCGTCTTGGGGTCCCCATCCAGGAAGACGGCAGTGACTACCGCAGCTGAGTACGCTGGTAATGACTTTTATACGTCGCTGCCAAGTCAGTGTTTGACCGCCTCTAGCTTGTTTCCATCCTTCACGTGGTTGTGTGAAAACAACCCTTCGAGGAAGTGGGTCGACTGGCATATGGAGCATGTGACCAGGCCAGCGCAATATGTGGACAGTGGTCAGTTTATCTATCGTGTGCGAGATATTCCTTCCGAAAACTATTCGATAAACTTCGGCATTACCTATCTGGTGTTCTCACCAGACTCGGGCAATGTTCCGAAGACATCGATGGTCAAACACCGGAAGTCTTTTGACGTCCTCGACGCGCAGCGACTAGGTTTCTAGTCCGTATAGTAATATGGAGCGCACCACAGCATTGTAAACTCGACCCCTGATAGAGAAGCCGGTGTCACGCCTACACCACAGCTGACCCAGGTTCACAAAAGGCATTCCCAATCCGGATCGAAATATCGTCTTTGCAAGACCACCGGGACTGATACAGCTGCCTAGGTAAACAAATTTGTCTACTACCTCAATCGGTTCATCCGCAAGCAAGAGGCTAGGGTTCGAGCCCACCCAGTCTTGGAATAGCACTTTACACTTTGCAGATGTGAAGCGCATGCCAAATCGTGAGGCGGGATTAATAAGATTACTTAATATTGTTTACATTACCACAGGGTCAAATCCAAGAAGAGCTATGTCGTCTGTGTACTCGATATCTATGAGCGAATTCTCAGAGCACGTTGATCTCACAAGCACTAGAGGCTGGTAGTGAGTATTCCATAATCAGTGGTGAAGTTGAAGAGGAAACGTGAACGAGGTCAGCCCTGCCTGACACCACTTGATGTGGTGAACTCAGGCTAGAGCTTCCCGTAGACCTTCACACATACAGCGCCTTAAAAAGGGTCAAGAATTTATGGGGACGCCTTGGCTCCACAGGCACTGCCACAGGCCCTTTCAGCTTTCAGGGCAGCCTTGGGATTAAGAAACAATGATTGGTTGCTGTAAGCAGTTTCGCTGTTCAGGAATCTGTCGGAAGTTGAAGATATGATCGATGCAGCCTCTTGCAGGACGGAACCCAGCTCGGTTTTCACGGATCTGCTTCTCCCTGTGTTCAGTCAACCTTCGAAGGATAAGGCCGGAGAGCACTTTCGATGCCGCGGCTAACAAGCTGATGCCACGGTGGTTTTCACACGACCTCCGCACACCCCTTTTGAAGATAGGACTGTCGACTGCAGGCACTTTCTCTTCATTCCATGTCGCACCAATTAATCTTGTTAGATTGGACATCGGGAATTTTCCGCCTCCTTCGAAGAGGGCTGGACAGAGGCCGTCCGGTCCTGGTGCCTTCTCACGTTTCAGTACGGATATTTCGTACTTTATTTCCTCCGACGGACGATTAAGGTTTACGTTCCGCTCGCCCGTGTGCATTATCTGTACAGGCTGTGTCGCAGCAGGCCAGCTAAATTGCTCTGTGAAGTGTTCTGCCCATCTTCCCAGTCGATGTTTTTGCGAGTGAATCAATGAGCCATCTTCTTCACTTATCGTTTCACTGACCGTTGCTTTCCTGGGGCCAGTCGATCGTAGCAGTTGATATAGGGCACTGCTGTTTCCAATAGCAAATGCCTTCTCCTTCTCCCAAACTTCTGATGTCCACCAGAGCTCTCGGTCTTTCCTTAGGCTCTGCACTATTAGGCGTTTGAGAGATTTGCGCGCGCCGTCGTACTCGTTGCCCGCTGGTATAGCTTTCCTGGCATCAGTCATGGATAGCGATCTCGGCGACATCCAGGGGTCTTGGGGTCGAATTGGAGAAGTCGGACAGACAGCACTGAACGTCGCTAACATAGTTCCTTTCACATTTTGCCACGCTTCATCCACATGTTCATTACCACCATAGTATTCGCTTGCCGTGGAGGGTTGTTGGGCTAGCTCGGGTCGATACTGTTGAGGTATGGTATTTCTTCGAAGATATTGGAGTGGCATTCTTGCTGACTTGCGAGGGCCTGAAGGGAAACGAACTGTCAGGCGTGCACGCACTATGGCGTGATCGGAATCAGGTGGTGTGCCCCAAGAGGAATGGCAATCTTGAATTGTGGCTCTGCACTGGTGGCTGAGGGGGCGAGATGGCCCGAGTAGGCAGAGCGCGAATTTACCGACCGGAAGGTTCGTGGTTCGAACCCGACCTTCTCCTCTCGACTTCCCCTGTCTAGGCTTGGGCAACCTGGCAGTATCCCAGCCCTCGTGCAACCTTCGGGTAGTATGGCAGTTAGGCACCGAAAGGGTGTTACAGCTGAACGATTCTGGTGGCTGATGACCAGGTGATCCAACTAGGTCTGCGGTAGATTTTCAGTTGGGGTGAACATGATACGAGCACAAACATGGCAGTGCTGAGCGCCTGTGCTCTGATGCATCGCTAACTTACTGCGCACTGTTGATGTCACCGGATTGTTGACGAAGCATTTGCAACCAAGTTATCCAGCTCATTGACTACAACAGCCACATACGCAATCCGAGCTGCAGATATTCCCTTCGAAAGCACACTGCTTACAGGCAATCAGCGGCAAACCACCCTCTTGCTGAATACTCTTACTTCACTACCCCACAACCATTGTACAACACGCCGCTTCATTGTAGGAAGAGTAAAAAGGTAGAGGGAGTGGGTGCAACAATATCGTAAAGGCACATAGAGGCGCCTACGCTTTCGGGAACTTGCTGGACAATCTGGATAGGTACAGACAATAACGGCATCAAAATCCGCTGGCAATCGTACATTGTAGCATCTCTAACAAAACGTAAGGTCCTCCTCCCGAAAGTTGGGTCACGCTGGCAGTACTTGGATATTTCACTATTTCTTCCACGCCCTTCTGTCAAATCTATGGCTCACGACTTCTCCGCTTGTCTTATTTAAATTCAGGCGGGAGTGCAAAAGCCGAACCCCTCTACAGATAAATATTGATAGTATCACAGGTTCCATCTCCGGAACAGCTAAAAAAAACACAATGGGTCATTATATTACGATCCTCCACAATGCTGACGGGAGCACACTGGTTGACCTGGGACATACAGCAAGCCGCATTTCTCCGGTGATTTGTTTGGCGAGTATCGTGGTTTTCGTTTGATGCCTTCTAATATCTGCACTATTTTCGCTTAATCTGACTCTTTCATTTGCAGCGTTTTGCTGGTCACCGTCGAATTTTATTGGAGTACAATGCTTCAACAGTTTGAGTATACCCGCAACATTCCTGATCCGGCCGTCGAGTGGTCCGATTTATTGGAGGGATCTCCAATCATTATTGACAACGGTTCGCTGTCACTGTGTTTGTTGACGTTCTGTTGGTGTAGGGTCTTTCGAATGTCGCGCAGGCTACGCAGCTTATACCCATCCGCATATGGTTTTCCGGAATTTTATCTACAGACCTCGAATGTCAAAGGCAAATCCTATGATGTTTAAAAACCGTAGGCTTAGACTATTTTAGTGGGTAATGATATCGTCGAACCGGACGCCGTCGGACATCTCTTGAAGTCTCCATTTATCGAAAGTCTTCTGACGGGCATTGACGTTCAAGAGCACGTTTTTGACCACATTTTTGATCGTCTAAGCATCCATTCAGCCTCCGTCGACCACCCCTTAATCGTCAACGAAATTCTATGTAATCCCAAGCTCTGTCGTTCACGTACGTCATACTACTCTCAATCTTAATTTTTTTTAGAGTTAACTGAATTACTCTTTGAAACATACGGTATCAAGAAGCTTGGCTACTATGTGGATGCGCTGGCATCGTACCACGAGAATTGCAGCAGGGAAGGTATCACAGGTAGTTAGAAACGTTTTGTTTTGCATCGTTAGTCCGTTTGCATTCGGTTCGTCTGTTAGCAGGTTGTTTCTTCTTTTAGTTCGCGAATGCGGAATACTTTGCCTTTTCTTAAGGAGTTTGAAGCTTAACTGTCTAGTTACCTTCGAGATTGAGATATCTCAGTGGTTAATGTGTGACGCTATTAATGGAAAGGTCCTTAGTTTGAGCTCAACACAGGTTTATCACTACTATTCTCTAGGCTTTGGCAATATTTCATTATTTCATCTCTAGTGCCTTCTTTGAGTTGCATTGCAGCTATGGATCGAAAGAGTGCCATAGCTCGACTCTGGTTGCCCTACCTATAATGCAGGTGAACCCATTTAATCTCTACATTTGTGCGGTGCGCTTAATGACTGGAGGATAGGCAGCTCACAGCAGTGATGCATCAGTGTCAACACTGATGTTGCTGTCTTTGATGATAGTGATGATGATCATAGCACCAAGCTCCTGTGGGCGTACGTATCACGTCCAATACGTTCAACAACCGGAAAGACCAATGTCCGCACACTCGTTCCTTAATGTTCGACAAAACCTCGTATGGGGGCTCCCATGTATCAGCTTGTGCATGCCGTTGGCACGACTCCGATTGTAGCATTTAAAAGTATTTCAGTTAGATCAAATGTGTCTTAGTAAACCATCATGATATCTCGCACGCTGCTAGTTAGCAAAGCTTTTTCAGATATCGATTCCATTCTAGTTGTCCATGGATTACCTGTAGACCTAGCCACTCGTCTTTCTTCTTGATGTTGCTAATCCAGTGATGATGCAGATCTTGACACGATTTCGAGACCAAAACTTCCCATTGGGGACTAACGAACTGAGAGTCGGTGTATCAATCACGCTTCATGTAACCTAAGGCATTCATGTAGGAGCCACTCTGAAAAGCCACCCTCTACAAATAGTATTTGGCATGATGTTTTCGTGTTGAGGATCAATTAAGTTGCCTCAGAATATCCTCAAATTCTTTGGGCGGAATTTCACAACTAGTTCGTGGGCTTCGACAAATGCACTCATTTGCGTATCAATTTGGTTCATGGGCTATTATTGAAACACAACTTTTCACATGCACCCCCGTGTTCAGATAATGGATCCTCTCCTTTTGATTGCCTATTGATTTCGTTTGGACACCAAAGTAGCCATCTGATTCCCGTCTCATCAACGGCCTCTGGGCATCCAGTATGCTTCCAACCCGTACTCCCGGCTGCTCGTCGTTTGAATGTTGGTGGTGCTCACGTCAGTTGGCTGGTACAGCGCTTTTTGCAGCTCAAGTACCCGTGCCACACAGAACGTATCACATTCGGACTGGCCGAGGTCAGTTGTAACTTCATACAACTTTGTGCACGTCTTAGTTGTAATACCGGTCTATTATTGAAATCCGACCCACTCGCCGGTTGTCGCCCCGTTAATCGTAGTTCAACAATAGAAGGGATGACCTCACGCCGTAGCCGTGCGGGCCGATGTACTTTACTCTCGGGATTCCAAAGTAATTGAAACGATCGAATTCCAACACCTTGTTGTTTTTCTATGTTTGGATTTGAATCGTTGGCCCATGTTCGTCGTGAAGATGGAACGTGATTGACTCCTGGCATTGTCGAATAGGATATACTGGCAATCGAACTTCACAGAACGGCTTGCGTAATATCATGCAAGCTTTGCGTGTCATTTAGGGACGGATCTCTGCTTTCGTCAGTGTGCCTCAATAGTACACCCACAATTATTCAGTTAAATAGTATAGTGTTTCCGAACTACAGCAGCCGTCATTACAACATCCTCCCATTCATTCAACTTTTCCTCTACTGGAGGCCGGTATTGGGATACTTTGCCTTTGAATGACCAACAGGAATAGTCCTTCGTCACAATGTAGTGCAAGACTTTGGCCACTTTTGGATATCCGCCCCTTTAGTATGTCCGCTTTTGTCACGGCTGGCACCGAAGCGTAGCTGAGGAAGTCGCATCTGTGTTCGCATTCGAGTTTTCGATCACTGCAGGTGACGGCCCAAATAGCTTTTTCTATTTAAACAGCTGACCTTTATTGGCTTCGAGATTGCACCATTCAACTCATGGATGGTCCGCAACGGTGCTCCGAGATGTGCGTGACTTATGTATGTGAATTCGGGAAGCTAGAAATGGAAGGCCCCGTAGCTTTGCTACTATCCTCAATGGATTTCCTCATCTATTTTTTGTTTCTGACAGCTTTCCATTAACTGAGTTGTGTCCCGTGATATCTTTCTGACAAATGTGAACTTTGAGGAGAGGATAGTGCGTTTTTTATGTGGTGATCCAAAACCTCAGCCGAATTAGAGCTCCAGAAACCGCGTGCCACACATTCCCATCTGGTCCAGACGGAACATAACTCCTAAACGCAGCAAGCTATCCAGACTACCTAAACTGTTTCCAAAAGCACGTAAGAAGTTCAAACGGATCGTGTGTATATTTTTACGAAATTGCTCTAACTACTGCGTAAAACAAGGCCTCGAAACTAGTCACGTAAAAAATAAAGTGAAGTTTTAAATGAAAATGAGTAAAAAAAATCCTCACAGTGACACTCCATGGGTGATTTTTACTGTATGATTGCCGTCAAAACCAATTTTCCAACTCCTAACAAGTTCCCCGACCGATTTTTGTCACATTGACATGGTGGCCAAGTGTAGGTGTGGATGCTTCTTCATGGTGCAAACATGCCAGTAAGGTCAAAATGGGCAAATAAACAAAGCATTGAGCCCCCGTACTACTAATAACCGTAGTGCGAGGCGGTCTAGGCGAAAAGTCGTACCGTGCACTGCGATAGGAGCATGAATTCAGTAAAGCGCTTCCTCCAGGCCACCAGCTTTTCCCTGTTTGTTTAGCCAGCGATACTGCCTTCCTCCGATAAGGTATCCGAGACAACATTCGACTGACAGTCTCAAGACTGATCGAGTTAAGTAGATCGGAAGGAAATGCAGAATACAACGGTGATTAGGAACAGTCGAACTATTTTTCAACTTATCCGGAACACCGGGTCAAGAAAGCCGTCCGCCAGTGAACTCATTGCGGAGGAAGACGGCTCATTCCAAGTCCCTCCACCCGTTTCGATTGGCGTAACACTTTAGTTGGCTTGTGATGCTCATCAAAACGCTGAGCTTACCACCAGCTTCGCAACTGCTCGGTCCCAACCGAAACTGAAGTCAAAAAAGAAACTAGACCTTTGAAGTGAAACAAAGTAGTCGGTTCTGACTGTCTTCCCCCTGTCTTGTTGAAGGATGAAAGGGCGCTACTTCACAGTGTGACCAAGTAGGCAGATTATTTGAAAGACGAAGAAAGTGCCAACAGAGTGTCAGGTATTTGTTGTTCCTGGCTTGCAAAAGGTGAATGGTGACCAAGTGGCAGATTATTTGAAAGACGAAGAACGTGCCAACAGAGTGGCAGATATTTGTTGTTCCTGGTTTGCAAAAGGTGAATGAGGATCATCGGGGTATCCGCTTTGTGGTGATGGCTTCTGAATTGCTTACACGTAAATCCTACATAGGCTGCATGGCACTCGCAGGGGTTAGGGTCGTGAAAAACATGCTAGTTTCCGTATGCATCGACCACATCTTTACCTCACAACAGACTCTCGAACACCGTCACACCTATGGAGAGCCAACAGATGTTGTCATCATAGATATAAAAGCAGCGTTCGATTATGTCGTTTTGGGGCGGTGTTTATCCTTCACAGATTTTTAGACATTTTTGTAACGGTTGACCTATTCTTACACGCCATAGGTCCGTGGGAGTTTTTGGAGTGCACCAAAAGTGCTGGCCAATATTACCATTCATCATCCTTCCTCTTCATATTTGTAATCCAATTGATTATCGAAGGAACGGCTGATGTGTCTTCTGCATCTTGTGTAGAGCTTCTTGTCGGATGACTTTCTCGCCACATGGTTTGGATTCCATCCAGAAAAAAAATTAATTAACCTTAATAATGTTGTCACACATTTTGGTGTACGCGCTGCACGTCCAAAATGCAAAGTGCTATTACAAAACTGGACGAGTTCACCATCGACATTAGAGCCACTAGGGGTAGCATACAAATTTACTATCTGGGTAGTTGCATCACGTGGGATGGCAGAATTGCTAGAATCGTTAAACCCATTCTGCTTCCCATCAACCCTGTGGTTGATATGACTTCGATCTGCCGACGAAATACAGGGGGGGGGGTAGTGCGTCCAGTGTTGCTTTACGCTTATAAAGCATATGCGCTGAAAACAAGAGAATCCGCCGAATTTAACTGTGGTGACCCGGACTGGCGTACATGCGTAAAAGTTTCACGGTTAAAAAAATGAAACGAATTAAATAGTCAATTTAGTTGTCCAGCACGCTTGTAGAAGCAAACGTACACAGTACCTATGGGCTGGGAATTCACCAACTCCTCTGTTGAATGGTATAGCTGCGTCTAGAAGAAAATTCACGAACCATTGGGTCTCCTCTAAAAAAATACAATGTAGTGCAGTGAATGCCAATGGGATGCGCCAATCCCGAAACCGTCGAATTTTAGAGTTCCAAAGAGGACGTCTTTCCGGGTCTTATCGCGACTCATTTTGTGATGTTTCAGTCATTTCTTTCGAATCCTCTGGTTTTTTTTAGCTACTGAGGCTTCAACTTTTTAGGAAGCTAAACAGTCAAATACAGAAATCTCGCAAGCGGAAGCTAAGATAGCGGCCCTCTGGAAAGCCCAGAGCAGTGATCCCATCATCTATGGTGCGGGTCCTCGGGAGCCCAGTCGCAACAAAGGCTAAACACTCCCGTAATGGTCTGTTGTTAATGCAATTACTTCATTCCTAGGAGAGAAAGTTGGGATGCTGCATAACAATGCGGTTATCCTTCCCAAAGGACACTACCCCAAGTGGTCTCCTCCAGGGTAGAGTTAACTGTTGAATTGTGTGTCGGCGGAATAACTGAAAACGGTCTCTTGTGAAAACCGATCATTCATTAGGCCAACCTCCTCTGAGAGAGCAAGCTGTACCAAAGATCGACATCTATCATTAAGCACAATGTGGCCAACTTTGGTGCAGGTGGTTACAAGTAATGACTGCATCATTACGAGGTCGGCAAAATACAGTTCCTCATTGGAAAGCCTTGTCTGACGTCGCCACAACTTTTAAATCTTAGTGCTTTCCCTTCATTTCACACTATCGATGATGTGCACGCTTCATAAGTAAAAACAACAAACCGCCGGACATTGTTACAGTCTCTTTAGGGCGAGATGGATCTATGATTGGAGCACGAATTTACTGTACGGAAGGTCCGTGGTTCGAACTTGGCCTCTGCGTCTCGACTTTTCCTGTCTGGGCTTGGGCAACCTGGCAGTATCCCAGCCCTCATGCTTTCCTCAGGTGGCATGACAGCTAGGCACCGAAAAGGTACTACAGCTGAACGACAAAAGTCTCATCGAGGGTTGTACGCCCAGGGAATATGATAAGGATATCTTAGCTCACATTCAAACAGCGTTGGTACAACGGGTATATCTCACTGAAGGAACCACCATGAGAACGCATTATTATTATTGCCGCTTGTTTCTTCGAGGTTTTGAACGACCTCAACCAGTTCAGAAGAAACCACTTTAATTTAATCACCAGGAGTAGACTGGTGTGTTATGTAGGACGGTGTCAATTGACAGGACGGCGGTTGGAAAACAGAGGCTTGCTTCGCGGCATTCTGAATCCGATAAGATACCGGTGAGCTGGGCGCCGCTAACAACGGTGGATAATCGACCAAAACGAGTAAATTTACATATCTAAGGTTAACCTTAAACGTCCGTCACCTCCAGTACTTTGCTTGTTACCACCCCACCTTTCCTGAGGAATGTCACACATCTTGTGGTTAGGGAGTCTTAGACAGTCCTGGCGTACTCAAAAGTATTCATCGGGAAACTGAAATGCTGTTACCAACCATACGAACCTGAAACCATCAGGTGTATTAATCCCCATTCCCAAGTACAATACTCCTCCCTATAGGGACCTTTTCTGATGTTCATGGTGTCTTCCAGACGGTAGTCTTAATTGATGATGAAGATAAAAGTCCTGGAGCCTTGTGACTGAGGATGGAAAGCTGCAAGCAAGCTTACGGATGGGCCTTGATAGTATACGTCTGTTCGTGTATAAACCTCCGTAGGTTATAGAAGCTGCTATTAGCCAGTGTATCAAACGTCGCTTCAGTGACGCATTGGCTGTCTGCTGTGTTCGAAAAGCCGCGGAACTACTGGATCCTTTTTCCGAAAAGGAAATGACTTGTAGTTTGGCTAGATGATATTTGGTATTCGGCTTACCCTCTGTGCTGCCTTCCCAAGTGGCATTTATATTTTTTCAAATGGTACAAGGTTTGCAAAGAGGTGTTTTGTGTATTAAAGATGCTTTAAGAGGGTATCAGGGTCGTACTGCACTGGATTTAGTATTTCAGTGTCTCTCAAGAAGGAGCAGCCTCCCAACTAACACCAGTTTGCCCGGCCTTCGTGAGTGGACTTTGTTAGGGAGACTACTGTGTACACTTAAGAGAGCCGCATGCATCCAATCGTTACTATTGTTTTGGTATCTTCTTGGCCTTCCAGCACCTTGTGCACAATTTCGGAAAGGTACTGACCAACTATCGTGAGGAGATGACTCAATGGCGTGATCCAACGTTCCGCGCCGACCATACATTGAAGATCCAGCTCCCGTTCGTTCAGGTAAGGTAAATCTCTTCTTCATTCTCATCGTTAATATATGGTGGACTTCACGAAGGATTTGTCTGCTCTTGATACAGCCAAATGTCATCAAAAACAGGTTTGTTGTAGAACTGTTGCCTTGTGGACAGGTCAACAGGGATGTCCGTCAAAACGAACGCCACTATAGAATACACTAGTTGCCATCAGTGAAAACGGTCACCAGAATGAACACCTGTCTTACGAACACCCCGTACGTCCCGCAGATCTTTGGTGGAAGGGAGTATGTACTGAAAAGCAGATTTTGGAGACTGCAAACTGAAATTCTGAAGCTCACTGACATAAAATTGTTCCAGCCAATCGAAATCTGATTTCTTTCACTCCACGCTCGGCTCCAGTATAACTGGACTTCGCAAGGTCTAATATTGTACCTCTGGTCGTGTGTCTGTGAGCGGGTGCGAATTGGCGTCTTCTGCTGGCGCAAGGCTTAAGGCCAGTCAACGCTGGGCTGCCCCACCACTATCGCCCAATGTTGGCATAGCCCTGAGTGTAGTGGGATTCAGCCGCTGTGAATGTGCCCCCTAAGGGTGGACGGTCGCTGTTTTACTTGGTCATTTCGGTTCGCTTCAGCATAAAATGTATACCTCCAAGATAGGCTTCTTCCGGGCTTATTCGGCCTACCCGGGCATTCGCGTCAGCTATCAGAATCACGATATATGTACTGCCAGCTGACCGGGGCAACCGTGACGCATCTCCACCTGACCTACCTGGCTACGAGGGGCAGAGAGTACGCCATTGTTGCCTGACCCTCGATGACGCTACAGAGAGCAGATGCGTTTAGAGTCCCTATCTGGCTCAAAACAAGATTCGCTTTGTTTTCGGACCGCACTGTATAATGCGTCGGCGCTCACAGTCAACTGCCAGGTGGTCGGAGTGTTCGGTCTTTAAGGCTGACCTTTTCTTACCCTTTCAACCTTGAGCGAAGGCAGCATCACTGCCTCTATATATATGGATATTCTGGTCTGTTGAAGAAAACAGCTTACTGACCACTCTTGCGGTCACAGCGGACAGTACGAATCCACCCGTAGTCCATCTTTTAATGTAAGCCCACGCAGAACGGAGACTCGCTGTTCTTTTCTGGGCGGCTCCTCGTTGGCCTTCTCGGCATGGTGAAACCTCGGGGAACTGAATATCAGTTAGTGTAGCCTTCAGAACCACCTCGACAAGGTGACAGCGTCTGAATTTTTACATGAATTGGTACTGCAATGTAAGGGTAGAACCGAATTCAGGAGATTGGTATGTGGGAAAAACAGCTTAGCTGTGAAAACCTGCGGGATACCCCTGTGTTCATTCAAGTATTGTTTTTATTGCGTTTAACAAGAAGTGTGTTAGAGTTAAAAGAGCAACTAGGAAACCGACCAACAACTGGCTCATAAACGTACTTCCACGAAATGGGAAACAATCCGTGGACGATGAGCCTTGGGCCACAAGGATAGTTTCTGGTTGTCTGAGTTGATTGAAATACGCCATCTTCACTCTTTGGGTAAAAAACCAGTTCATAACATGGTGATAATAGGGAGATATTATTTCTCAAGCTCGGTTCCAAGTTGTAATCTCAACAGTTTAGTACGCGTTTTTGTGACGCCCTGCTTGTATCACGTCTCCAAAGCTTCACCCACCTTGTTGGAGATCACTTTGGTAGGAGCCGCATCAGATTCCTCACAACCTCGTGTTTTTCACTCTATTGGAGCTCGTGATGGCCCGTGATTAAGGCGCAAATCTGTCTATAGGAAGGTTCACGTCTCGAGCGCGGATTTTCAATTGCTCTTGTCCACTCGTCGACAACCTGACAGTATCTCAGTCCTCGGGTTTCCATCAGGTCGTACAGCACTATTTGTTAGACGGCTATCATGGATAAATAAGTTGAGATGATCTTTTCAAGTACAACTTTGATTTCTCTACAAAAGTGGGGTTGTGTGCAAAAAACTTCTGCTTTCCTACTCCCACCTCAGAGGACTCTACGGTCTGTCCTCCACACCGTCTTTTGATATGGTTTCCCGTAGTGTGTGGGCTTTCTGATCTGTCGGCTTTGGTAATCGGGTTGGACCCAGAGGAACGAAATTTCCAGTCGATCTTGCTTGTAGAACATGACACTGAGCGAGCTCAACTACCTGATCCTCCTTTACTAACGAAAAGGCTGTTAGTTCCACTAACCATCTCATATTTGAGTTATGAGGTCATCGAGCCAGTTGCACTGTGAATGCATGAAATGTTCGAAATGACATATAAGTGTGTTCCGTCTCTTGACAGTCCACCATGGAAGAATTCAACGCCGCTGTAGATCGGAAACGTGCTCAAAGCATTCGCATGCAGGATCTACATAGACGACGGCATTTGGATCAAGTAAGTCGGATGTGAACCGAGCGTTCTTAGAAGTGTGCTCCAATATGGAACTCCTTGTTGTCACATTCTGCGTTATGTTTATCGGGATTTAAAACACCACCGAGGCGACTCATACGACGACTCACGTAAGAAGGTGAACCGCTGCGACGCTCACCGTTCCCAATTCACCATTTCAATACTGCTCCGGTCTAATTTTCCTTAACTTATTTATGTGTATACTTTTCTAACCTGTCCTTCAGACCACTATACTCAGCCGTTTTAGTGGTTCCGAATCTCCATTTGTGGACTACCTCGGTTTTGAACGTTTTTATTGCGTGTACATCCAGTCTAGCTCAAAGCCTGTTTGTTAATGTTTCAGGTCGATGCGGCACGTGTTCGTCTGAATCGTCTATTGGCTCTACAAGACTTGATACAGCAACAGACATCACCCGAAGGAGATTCAGCATCCAATCTCACGACCGCTGTTAAAGTGCGTATTGTCTGTACTGTTTTTTCCATCCCACCGTTAGGAACTTCTTATTTTCAACTACCCCACGGATTTTTAGAACAAGCAATACGATGACGTGCCTGACATGATTTTGAGTTCGATTGTTTAAATGCGTAAATAATGAAAATGTTAACAGGTCATTTTTCAAAGGATTTCCAGTGCGAACCGCTCGAAGCAACGTTCTACTCCAGATGTGAATGCGCGATGTTGACCGATCACAAACAATTGGCCAGTGCGTGATTTCTTTACACAAAGTAACGTAACACTCGTCGATACCAGCAGGTTGGCTTTAGGCGGCCGGAATAGTTACTTTCGTCTTTAGTGTGTTTCTAACGCCCTGATGTTTCTGTAGTGAACCGGAAAAATACCGTCGTCGAGGGGTTTATAGAGCAAGGGGTTTCCCATCCAGTTCTTACTCAGATTGTGGGCAAGTGTCTTTTCACGGGCCCTAGCAATGGCAGTTTTCGTGAGCTGTTTCATCCATGAAAGTGCTCAATACCTCGGTAACTTTTTTACTTCCTGAGACAAAGAATATACGGTAGTTTCTTTTTAATATGATTCTCAAATAGCCGAACATCTACTGTATTGAAGGGAGCCATTAGGTGAAGGGAGTAGTATTGCTCGGGACAGTTCGGAGGCGGTGTTAACTCCTGAGCGATAGGTTCGGGCTCGAATCCATCCCTCGCATTTAGAATCCTATTACCTGGGCTTGGGTGACTTCACCGGGTTGTGTCCCAGTTAAACCTCGAAGTAGCGAGGAATCCCGTCAACGAACAGCTGCGTTTCCAGCGCAGTACGACTCCCTCATTCGCCACTCCATTCCTGCATCATGGTGCGGTAATCAGAGAGATAGTCTCATTTTTTGTCATGACTTTATTCATCATCATAATGATGCGTTCAACAACGTCATTTTTTTCAGAGTATGTTGAATATACCTCTGAAATTTGATACCTTGTAACCAGTGCATTCACTCGCGTCCCTTGTGAATAAAGGTTACTTTCACACCTTTTTGTTGGCATGCTTGCCGCAAGGTTCTAAAAAAGATTCTTGAGGAGTGAATGATGGATCGGGATGGAGACTGACCGATTCCAACGTTCACCACGCATCTGATTGTCAGTTGATGGATAGACCACATCGCTATACGTTTTCATCAGACGACCTTGGAAGTACCCCGTAATTATTTTGTGCACGGATACTCGGACTCTCTATTCGTCCGGTGTTTTTCGTGTGATTGTCGTATTCTGGCAGACAAGTAGATTCGTCCGTCGTCTCTGCATTTTAGATTGCTTTGATTCTTTGAATTCACTTTTCACGCTATTCTGTCTACCGTTGCGTCTGCCGCTCGGTTTTTGGCAATGCATACAACCATGCATAATCACTGAACCTTTTGGCAACATATTTCTACTATTGTTCCAACTTAGCGCGGTTTGGCTCGCATGGGACTCACTGATTACGCGAAGCTGAATAGCGAAATTGAATCTCTCCAAGCGAACATTTTCCGTCTCGAACAGCAAATCGCCAATGTTGTCGCTCCTACTCAACCAACATCTACCGATACTCAGGACTCCAGTCCCTCTGATCAAAAAACTGTTGCAGCAAACTTTTCTTCAATCGTACAACTCTTCGAGAACTCAGACGGTAAACCTCTCATATCCGAGCTTTCGGGTCATCTCAAACGCGCCACTGAACTCCTACAATCGTTAAGTCTGCCTGCAGCTGTTCAGGCTCAAATGACCGTCGCTCCTGCTCCGACCGACTCCAAGCTTAGTGAGAACAGATTAAAACAGGTGTGTTTGCACTGTCCTCTGTGAACTGCCTTTTTCGGATAATGCAATTTCTTATACTTGTGTTACATTCGTATCTGATACGATATTTATGCATCGAGGAAATATCAAACTTTCACCCTGGTCGCTAATGAAAACCGCATCTCAAATCCTTCACACTACTCATAAGATTGCTGAAAACTCTTCGACAACCCACAACCGGTTTCGTCCTTCTTGGGACTTATCGGGTAGGAGCAATCCCCGAGTTTCCGTCAACCTTATGTTCTAACTGACGAAAACTCGGGAACTGTGCCTACTTGATGAGCCCCAATCGGAGCGAAACCGATCGTGGGTTGTCAAAAAGTTTTCACCAACTTTGTGAATAATGTGTTGCGTCTGCACAATGTATTGTGTTATCTCGCATATCCCACCAACTAAAACACGAGGCGGCCGAGTGCAGCACCATTCAGTTGAAGAACAGCAAGAACAAAAGGCTCAGCTACCTTTCAAGTGAGTCTCCCGTAGAAACCAAATTGGTATGCAAGCGAGTATACATGCCGATCTTTGGTGTATTCTGTTTCGTATGAAATGAATATCATCTTTTTCTTCACTAATTCTAAGAGCTTCTCTATCATCGCACATTGTCAGAAAAAGCTAGGTGACGAGTAAAATTTTGCTGAAGTGAGCCTGGAAGACGATGGAGTCACCCAACCATTTTTCATGCTGTCATCGATCACAACACGAGTGGAAACGATGAGGTCGATGAAAAAACCCTAGAGGATTCAGTCGTTTCATTCAATTTCAACTTTTCTGCATTCGTTAAGATAGTTGCATTTCCAATCCGTCAAATATGTCTTAAGATACGATGATTCTCAGCAAAAATTGTAGCAAACTCTGGTTCTTTCAGTCTCATTGTATCTTCATCACGACAGTAGTTAGTAGGCCTCTTTTTACTCTCGGAGTATGGGACAGTATTTAGATGCCCGTGCCCCCTACAGGTTCCATAGTATCTATGAGCTGAACGTATGCCACAGGAGGCACACTTTTCTGCCATCGATTCCGGTCATGTGCTTTCCCTCATTTCAGCGCATACGCATTGGACAAGAGCTTGAAGCCACACGTGGTGATGACTTCTTGGTGAGTTTGGTTCGTTTCCTAATAGCCGGTTTCATTGTCCACTCTGGATCAGGGTTCCCCGCTCCTGACCCTGTGTGTGTGTGTAAACGTCACACGTTTCTTGACCACGTGCCGATGAATCGTCTTTTGCTTATGTTCTTCAGTTATGTGGAACAGTCGTCTAGCGTATCAACAAGCGACCTCTGGGTTTGCGTCTCCTCATAAGAACTTGAAGCGACTCCTGAAGAAGTGTGAATCTCGCTTTACCCTTCGTTATATTCGTTTTACGTAGTACGTCATTCGTTGGTTGGTGCAGTCGAATATTAGGTTAAAATATTGTGTCCAACCCGCATTCAGATATCGTTTTTCCGCAAACCCACATTTTGTCGTACAGCTTGCCTCAACTCACCACAAAAGCTGTGAAACTCTACCCGGATAGGATAGTCTTATCGGCTTACTTCGACCCTGAACGCTTCGGTTTGTTCAGATCATGATGCATGTGATTTTTTCGTTCCTGTCTTAGGCCTGGCTTATTTCTATCCGACATCGCCGCCAGAAGGTGGCAAAGAAACGTACTTCGCGTCAAAGCCGTATTGACCTTGCCACTGAAATCGGATTGCACGGCACCTTTAATGGTACTGGTGGACCCGAATCATCCAACGGCACTGGTCAACTAAAGCTCTCGGGGATGTCTGGAGATTTTGACAGACCAGATGCTTCCAAAGAAACACGGTACGTCTCCTAGTATCAGGTGCACTTTTCCGCTTTCCGTGTCTCTTAATCGTACTTTTTCGTTGTTGAAATTTCCCCATAGGTATCATATGGAATTAAGAGGTCTCGCGACCTGCACAGAAATTGCACCCCACCCCCGTGAGACACTCTGACATTCTGAATGAGCTATTGCAACACGAATGTTGTCTCCTTGTGTCTGTGTCACATTCTGTCTCATATGTATCCTTCTGTCAATGAGAATATTGACAATGTACTCACTATTCACCCATGCGTCAGTGGTTACCGAAGACCTCCCGGTACAGCTCCGACAGCCCGTGCATACTACTTATATTGGGAAGCTTCGGAAATCGGAGTGGTATAATCAGTGTTTGATCCCTCCCAGAGTGGTTACATCACAATGATATCTCTCCGTAATCTTCACCATTTTCTGAATCCCCAACGTAGACTCGTCTTTTGTTGTATTCGATCCTGGATGCGCCAATACGTTAAAATTCCCAGGAACGTCCACTGCATAGTTCGCATCACGTCTACTTAGGCTTTTCACAGAACAAATGAGCCTTGTGGATCCAGATCTTTAGTTACTCGCTTTTCTGCTATCCATGCGTATCAATCCGTACGAGAAAATTACGTCACTCTATCAGCGGTTCTATCTTGTGCATTTCAGCACTGTCGGTCTAACTGGAACTGGCGAGAAGGACGGGGCGTCGTCGGTTACAATTAGAAAAGATTCGTGCTAATGGCCGCCGGCTCAAACCAACTAGAGGACGAGGTGGAAAGTCTGCCTCGTCGGGCAAGTCTAAGACTCGTGGTCAGTCTCGTGGTAGGCCAGTTCGTGGAGGGGTCACCAGAGGACGCGGTGCCAAAACAGCCACGAAGCGAAGCCGAAGCACCCGTGAAGAGGTACGTGGCATAAAATTGTCGCTTGTCAGATACCCTGGAATTATGCAAATTAGCTGTGATGGTGGGTTTTGGTGAATTTCAGCGATGCTACTCGTCACTATGACCTGTGGTAGCGATGGAAAGTGAGATAACTTGGCTGATGACACTGTGCGATGGCCCATTAGCATGAAATTATCATTTCTTCGTTATCCTTCTTTTTGGATGAGCTGGAATATCGTCAGGAGTCCGAAACCCCTAGATTAGTGGACGATTGATGTCCTCAAGTTGCGCTCTTGGGTCTGAGCTGAGAACATAAAGCAAAAGGCGCCAGGTCAAATAAGCAATCCAATTTTTTGGGGATTATGTTGCTTCACTAGTTGCATTCCTCAACCTGGAGGACCAGTAGAATGTTTGATGGGTCTTTAACCGTTAAACAACCATGGATGCCGTGTGAGAACCCCTTGATATAGCTCAATAGGTTGTTACTGAAATATACAAACCATGGAGCCCGCGCTAAGGTCTAGTCTCTTCAAAACGTCTTGATATTTTTTCCGATGATTCTGGTTTTCAGGCGGCCTAACTCTATCTAATAAAATTCCTGACTGTCTTGCATTGGTAGGATTAAGGTTCCGAACTCGTTTTCGAAATATCCCTCATACCTTCAGATTGCCTGACCGCTTGAATAAGCGTGAAGAATAAGACCCCTGGGAATCGTTAGCTCCAGAGTGAGAGTTCCTGGGTATACTGTGTCTAAATTTTCTGGATATCCTGGAGTAATTCAGAGCTATACTAAATCAGACTCGATGACCTCCTAAGTCTAGCCCCGCTGAAACCTGATGTATTGCGAAACCCAACACACTCCTACGTACATTCTTCTAAATTTAAACTTTGCATTCAAGCCAGGAGCAGCATTCATCGACCGACCTATGGATAAGGAGCCAGGAACCATCGATTCAGCGGCCGATGAGATAACAGACTCTTGGACACTGGAACAACTGGAAGACACGGACGAAAATTCCACACTCAGAGTGTGGGATATGGATGCTGAGGACTCCAATAGTTGTCCCGTGCATCTTGAGGACTCGGAATTTCCAGCTAAATCACAAGTGACAGCAACCACGACCGCACCTTACCGCTGCGTTTCCGATGACCCGGGTGATGAGAGTGAAAATGAACGTGATCAACTTGCAGTATGTGACTGTCTTCTGGCGTTGTATGATCCGGAATCATCCAAGTACGTTCCTAATCATTCCTTGTTAACATGAACCCCATACTCTTCCGGTTCCTAAGCTCACACTTCCGTGTAGACGATAGATCGAATGAAGTCAACTTCAGAACGTACTTTGAAAGTCACATCTTTCATCCGTGTTTAATTCCTTCGGAGTAAATAATCTTAAGGCAGTCATCTACGGTGTCCAGAGTACCGGTAGGTTGAGTTTGTGAGTAGGATGTTAGCAAACTCAGTCCGGAGTGTAGTTTGCGAATGAACCTCTGGTGGTTTGTGTAGAAGCCTGAAATGCGGCGCCATTCATACTTCGCCGATCTACTGTTGTCGTTTTGTTCCTTCGAAACGGTTGTGTAACAGTCGAGTATAGCTCATTCTATTGTTTCCAGTGATGTGGAAACAGAAACTCCATTACCAGCTTCTCTCGCGGTCAAAGTTTATTTGGAACAGATGATCAGTGGAAAAAAAACTTTTCCAATTTGTCCTGCATGTGAACCAACTATCGCTCGATCCATTTGAAAGTCGCAATTAAATAAACAAAATTTCGTTGGATTAAGTGAGACTTATACTGAGAAATCGAAGTAGGGCTGAAATGGACCATGAAGATTTGTGCTGCCTCATATACTTCTTCTTGACAGTACTGTTGACCGGCATCACTCGAAGTTCGGATCACTGATAAAATTGGATGATAATCATTCAGAAAGAATCGAACAGGACTGCAAATGATGATTTTATGTGGCTGAGTATAAAATGGTAAAACGTTGCTTTTCATGGTATCTTATGATGGGTTGAAAAATATTCCGGAGCCCCGATGCTGGTTTTGTATTCTCCCTCCACACGTCTAGGGGTGGAGTCGTGCAACCAGAATTAAAGGACATGTGCAGTGATGAACCGAAAGAGCACAGCTAAATTTGCTAGAGATGTCTATTCTCAACTGTTTCGCAGCGAATGGTGTAGAAAAGGAAAGCTTATTCATTTTGATGGATGCGCTGTGATATCGTCTTCCTGAACTTGGGGAGTTACACGCAAGTCCCCTAGATCACACCAGCAGCTCCTTCAATTGAACCCATAAATCTCGGTATAGGCTTCAGAACCAGAACAGCCACATATTCCAAACCGTTGTCAGCCAATTGGCACTGACGTAATAAATAAGTCATGATGGTTCAGCTTTAGCATCACTTCGGTGCCTAGTTGCCATGCCGTCCGAAGGAAGCAAGAGGGCTGAGAGACTGGCAGGTTGTTCAAGCCGAGACAGAAGCGGTCGACATGCTAAGGATCGTTTAGAACCACAGACCTTCCGGTTCGTGTGTTCGCGCCCTAACAACTGTCAGCTGCTAACAGCTGATCATTAGACGGAATAATGCTGTCCTGTTCTAGGAATCGCACGTTTTGTATCTTGAAGACTCTGTTGCAGGCCACTACGTCCACTATGTGAAACAGTTTTGACGCCCTTTCATTATTTCTATTTCAGAGATATGGGAACTACGGATATGCAGATTCATCTGAACAACTATTACCAATTACAAGTGAATACCGAACTTCCACGGTGAGTGGCTTGTCTGATGGAGCCAATGCAACTGCCTACACCGTTTTGAGCAAATCAAAAACTGAATATTTCATTGTTATGTGTACTGATGCGCCAGCACGTTTTCAAGTAGGCCCACAGTTTAACCGGGTTTCCTTGTCCGCCTATAGTAAGACGTTTGACGCAAGTTGATATTCGCTCCTTTGTATATGTTTCACGAGCAGTTGGCCGCGGGCAGTCAGCTACCATTATCCACATAAAAATACTAATAATAATCGTTCAGCTGTAGCGCCTTTTCGGCGCCTATCTGCCCACGGAAAGAGTCGCGAGGGCTGGGATACTACCAGGTTGCCCAAGCCTCGACAAGATTAGTTGAGATGCTGAGGTTGGATTCGAACCACAGACTTTACGGTCTTTAAGCTGCCGC